CTGGAAGGTGGTCGCGGCGGGTCCGGCCGTCGCCCGGGGAGGGGTGGTCTCCGGGGACTGGGCTGAGGAGGACGCAGCCAGGGGCCGGTGGACAGTAGTGCGCGGCGCTCCGGTCCGCGGGGCCTGGGCCGTGGGAGGCGTCGCCTTAGAGAAAGGGCGACTGGGCTCGCCCCCTAGCCCCGGGCCCGGCGACGCGTCCACCTGCCCCGCGGCCCCGCCGCCACCGGTGACATTCCCCTCCGAGGTTGTCGAGGCGGCGGCGGCGGCGGCGGCGGCGACGGCGCAGCACAACAGGGCGACGGCGCCCAGGCTCGGCAGGCTCCTCATGGCGCGCTCGGCTCCTCCATTCATTCATTCAGTCATTCAGTCGGTCGGTCAGTCATCTTCTCCTCCCTGCGCTCGGACCAGGGAAGCCGCCGCAGCCGCCACCGCCACCGGGCGCACCATCGCCACCTCCCTCTGACAGGCGGCCGGCCCCGCGGGCGGGCCCCAGCGCGGAGGGAGCGACCGGGCCGAGCGCGGACAGCCCGCCCTCTCCGATTGGCAGCCTCGCCCGACCAATGAGCGGTCACGCTGGCCCACGTGACACACCCGCTTCCCGGCCTCTTTGTAGCCCCGCGGGCCAATCAGATGGCGTCGAGGGGAGGGGGCGGAGTCAAGGCGGGAGGAGGGCGGTACGAGCCCCGCTCCAGCCCTTCGGGCTCGCGGCAGCCCCGGCTTTGTCTGCCCAAGGAGCGGGGCGCGGGCCGCGGGCATCGGGCGCCGCGGAGCAGACAAAGGACGCGCCCCGAGCGGCAGACGCCGGGCCAAGTCGTCTGCTCCACTGGGCGGCGAGAGCGACCCGGGGCGGGGAATCCGCTCTCGGGAGCTTCCCCGCCCTCTTGAACAATGGGGCGCCGGCGACGCACCCGGGCTCGGGTGGAGACAGGGCTGGAACCCCCGCCGTGGGCGAGGGCGACAGCAGCGACGATGTAAAGCTCAGCATTGCTTGTGCTGCCCGAGATAAGCCTGGTCTCGACCCCGCGAGGTCTGCGGTGCCATTCCCATTTCAGGGATGGGGAAACTGAGGCCCATGCTGAGACTTCCACTGAACCAAGACCCACGCCCCGATCAGACACCTGCTGCGGGCCAGACTCTGTGCCAGGCAGGACGGGGTGGGGTGGGGTACTAGAGACTCATCCGGAGCCGAAGGTACAAGCTTCCTGCGTAGGGGAGACAGACTCACGTGCACACTTTAACCTAACCCCCACCCCACCCCCGGGGAGAATAGGCTCCGACCGGACTGAACCTCAGCGTCCTGTTTCCTGCTGAGTGGTTTTGCGGCCTGAGCGCAGTTTTTCTCACCTCTAAAATGGGCATGATAGACACGTAACACCCCCACACCACCTGTCACGGAGACGAGAATTAAGTAACGTACTGAAAAGGGCTTAACCTAGTCCCCGACCCGCAGTAAACCCTCATTAATGCTAACTACTCTCAGCGTGCTGTGTTCGGACAAGCCCCACGCCACAGCCCTGATGTGTCCCCTAGCCGCCTGCCTACTGCAGGGATTGGGGTGCGGCTGCTAGCCGAGCTTGGCCCTGGGTGACACCGAACCCCCTATAAAGCTGGAACTCCGACGCGCAGCCTCGCACCATCTGCCCAGGATCCAGAGATTGCTCAGGCGATGCAGCTTCTGGGGAGAGCCAGGCGGGGCGGGTTTGTCATCTGACAGGACTTAATCCCAGCCCCGACGCCAACCCATTCCTGGCCTCTCCTACGTGATGCTTGCCTTTGTGCATGCTTTCCCATTAGTCACTGGCCTCCAACCAGAAAGGCAGGATGAGATTTGTATGTGAACTTGGGTATATGTTAATTTAAAAATGCATTTATTTACCTGCATGAGTAGTAGGTGGGGAGAGGATATGTATGTGCTTGTGGATGAGAGCGTAAACATCTTTGTGAGTCTTTGTGTACATGGATTTCATGGATTTGTGTGAGCGTATGGGGGCTAGTGTCTATTTCTGTGTATTATGTATTTTAAGTATCTGCACATGTGCTGATGTATGTTTTATGTATGTTTTCTATAGGGTTTGTTTCTTTTCGTGTGTGAGCATATATGGGTGTGTGTTGGTAGGTCTGCCTATGTAAGTAAGAGTGGGGGCAAAATGAGAGGGGGGTGCGTAGGTGTTCTGGTTTCAGACCAGTATTTAGCAAGTGCAAATCAGGATTCTGTTTTTACTTCTCTTGCGGAAGGAGGTAGACAGGTCAGCCCCTTCCCCATATTCTCTTGCTGATTCTTTCTGCTTTTCAAACCCCAATCAAAACACCATATCCTCTAAGAGATTTCCTTGGATCTCTGAGGGGGAATTAAACTCCCCCTTCCCATTTGCCAACTGCCCTTTGTTTATTCATTGGTTATAGCCCTAATCTATCAATCTAAACTCCCCCCTGCCTCCTCCTAAAAGGATTAAGGATGGCTTTCAGAAATATATACAACAGGCTAAATTGAACTGCCCACCTGGCTTTTTTACTTCTCACAGGCATGCATCAGCCATAATACTAGAACTTAGAATTTATGTGTCTGTCTCTCCCATTAGGCTGTTCTCTGTGTTCTTAGTGCCTAGCAGGGGTAATATGTGTAAGCACTAATCCATGCTGATAGAATTGTATTAAATTGAAAAGAGATCCTGTGGTGCCATGGAAAGAGCTTGTATCTTGAGAGTCAGACAGATCTGGCTCATGACTGCCAGCTCTGTGACCTTGGAAGAAACCTTTTACCTCTCTGGGCCTCAGTGTTCTCATCTATAGTGTGGGATCAATAAATTCTGTCTCACTTAGAGGAGCTAAGGATTGAAGAGAACGTTTCCCCTGAGCCTGGTATACAGAAGGCGCTCAATCTGTGTAGTTCATTTTTCATTTACACCTGAGCTAACTTTGAGCCTTGTTGGCTGAAGGACCACAAAAAAAAAAAAAACCTCTGTCATAACTTCCCCATTAGGTGACATGGGCTGACAGTTGCCTTACCAGCTATCTGCAAGATAGAGCTGGAAAATGCTGGTTTGGCCCTAAGATGTGCTAGATCAGAGATTCTCTGGCAGTAGGGGAGAAAAGCTGATACAGCTTCTTTGCCTGGAGAATCACAAAGACAAGAAGTCCTTACCAATGTGCTCTAGGCCAGCACTTGGCCTCATACAAGGATATGCCCAGGCTTCTAAGATGGGCTAATTACCCTGTAACGTGTATAGAAAATGTTGAACTATTTTGAAAGGTAATTTAAGTGTATTCATTTTGGTTCGTTCACTATTTAATTCTTTAAATTTTTTGCTCTGCCTTTATCTCTAAACGACAAGATAACTTCTTTTTTTATTTCTTAGGAATAATATTTTATGTTTAAAAATCAGAAACACCTTAAGAATCCAATGTGAGACAGAAGCGTTATTATGAACGTTCCGTTTAATCATATAAAGTCATTGTCAGGGTTGCCATGAAGAAAGCATAGTAAATATTAATAATAGATCATTGAGCTCTTACCGTGTGCTAGATATCACACTAGAGGCTATGCATGAAATATTTTGTTTAATCCTAAGAAAAAAAGGAAGTAGGCACTATTATTATTCTTATTTTATAGATAAGGAAACTAGAGCACAGAGAGGTTAAGTAACTTGCCCAAGGTCACTAAGTAAGTGATAGAGCTAGAAATCAAACTGAGGTTGGCTGGCTCTAGTAGTTCCCTTAACAACTATGCTGTAAAGGGAAAATGCTTATGATAGTGCTAAAAAGAAACTGGGAAAAATTATAGCTGTGACTCTGTGTGCAACAATGTTGACTGGCACTTTTCCTGTTGCTCCAGGACTGTGGCTAAGACCCAGGGCTGTCAACCCACCCCTGACACGTAGGGCCACTAGACTTAATGGGGGGGGGGTGGGCCACAGAACAGCAGGGGTCAGAGAGGACCTTGTCAGAGCAGATGAGCAGCCCGAACTTTCTCCTGTAGGCAGGAGATTCCTCTTTGTATGCTCAGTACCTAGCATGACGTCATATACACAGAAGTAGCTCAAGAATTGTTTGTTGAGCCAAATGGAGTCTTACAAGTGACAGACACTGTTCTAGGAGTTTGGCATTCATAACATATTTATTCCCCAAAGGTAGGGCTGTCCCGGTACTTGAAAGAACAGGAAATTGAGCCTCTGAGTCGTTAAGGGATTTGCCCAAGGTCTGCTCAGCTCCAAAGCCCTGGCTCTTCTTGAGCCTCCAAAATCCATTAATGTGGCCACTATGTGTTGCACACAGTAGGGAGTCAATGAACACATACTGAAAAAAAAAAAAGAAAAAGGAGACACATACACCAAATCTTACTCTCCTGCGAGAGAGAATTTAAGAAAAGAGAAGCTTTGGGAGTACGAATAGAAGAGAAAGCATAATAATATAATAGATGTGGCTCAGCAAAATAACCTCATCTCCCAGATTCCAATAAAACAGGAAAACTTTCCCCTTTCTGGTTTCATTGAAACAGTAATGCTGACATGGACGATTTCTAATCCTGCCGGAGCCTGGCTTCCTATCAGATGTGGCCAAATGCAAGATTTGGCATCATCTGCAGGCAACTTTAGGATTATTGGGGCCACTATCAACAAGCCTCCCCAGAAAAGGACAGTTAACAGAGAGCTCACAGAGAGGGAAGTACAAATGGCTAAAAAACATGAAACGCTATATATTCAACTTAAGGATCAAAGATTTGCCCATTGAAACAATGAGTTACCTTTTTTTTTTTTTTAAATCTGATTTGGCAAGAATGTTTAAAAACTGGTGATACTTGCTGATGAGGCAGTGCCTCGCTCTGTTGATAGGAATGTGAAGTGATAGAACTTTTCCAGGAAATCCTAAAAACGTCTGCCCTCTTTGGCTAATTATTTCCACGTTTAAGAATATATTCAAGGGATATAAACATCCAGATGTAACTGAAGATTTGCGTACCTGAATGTTCATCAAAATGTTATCGATGATAGTGAAAATTAGAAAAATCTAAACAGGTTACAGTAAGCGATAGGTTAAGTACTTTGTGCTGTATGACCTCCCTGTGTTGGGCCACTATACATCTATAAAAATGATGTTCATGAAAGCAATTCTTACAATATAAAGTAGTGGAAAAAATAGGTTGCCAGTACACATCTCGTAGAATGGCCAAAATCTGGACACTGACAACACCAAATGCTGGTGAGGGTGTGGGGCAACAGGAACTCTCACTCACTGTTGGTGGGAATGCAAAATGGCCTGGCCACTTTGGAAGACAGTTTGGTGGTTTCTTACAAAACTAAAAATATTCTTACATACGATCCAACAATTGTGCTCCTTGGTATTTATCCAAAGGAACTGAGAGCATATGTCCAGACAAAAACCTGCCCACAGATCTGTATAGCAGCTTTGTTCATAATCGCCAAAACTTGGGAGCAGCCACAATA